ATGCTACTCATTTTACAGCGGTGAACGTTTGATGGCAGAGCCGGCCGATGCATATGTTTGGAAGGCTTGGCTTAAAGATGCAAGCTCTTCCGCAAAAACGGAAGTTCACAGCGCAGCGGCAGGCCCCTGTGTTAAATCCACTGGGGCTCGGACCCCACGAGGACAGGACCCTGGGCCGGCGGACTGGCGTCAGACATGACCCTGAAAGAAGGTGCTGGCTAGAAAATTACAAGGCTTGGAGGGGTAGGCAGCAGCCTTGCTCGTCATTGAACTACCTTCAAAGGTAAGGCGCTTCTTGCTTAGCCTGAAACTGCCAAAACCGTGCTTCCCGCTGCAGCGGCATCTCCAGGACTGTCTTCAGAAGGTTTAAGTCGGACGCGCTCAGAAAAATAAGGTCGGTTGCATTACGATATCTGGTACCGAAAGCGCACTGATGGATAGTCACCCTCTCAATTTTCGGCACAGCTCGATTCAGCGACGGGTCAGCCCACAGCCTAGAAGTCTGTGGGTTCTCGAGGGCACACCGAATATTGTGCCTTCGGCAGGCCCGCAAAACAAGTATACAGGTATCTAGGCAAGCATTTCCCACCTTCACCTTCTACGCATCGAGGGGGGACAAACTGGGCAGGCCTCGCACGTGCCGAGCGTCGCGCACAGGGTACCTGTTGCGCGCGACTGAAGAGATGGCGCACGGCGGTACCATCATCACATCCACCACCCTTCCATCTGCAGGGTGCCTGAGAATAAAACGTATATTCGCCCTGGTTGTCAAATCTTGGTCCGGAACATTCCGCAAGTCCAAACTGACCACGGGGAGGCCCCAGCGAGCGGCGGCTCGGCGAAGCCCGCCGCCGCCGCCGCCAAAAAGATCGAGAACGCATCTCCTCGGAGACATCAAGAGCGACTGGCACGCTTGGGGTCGGGCTCCGCTCCGCGCCTTAGGCGCGGCGGCGTGGGCGCCGCGTCCCCGCGTAGGAAGATCCCTGCGATCATCCTCATGCAGAACCAGACGTGTTCCTGATCCTCGGCATCTAGCTCCCGCCACGCCTGGTCGACGCGCCCGGCCTTCTCGCACCTCCTGACGCTTCGAAGGGCCTGCCACCTCCCGCGCTTCATCACCTGCTTGGGTCCCGAGGTTCTCGGCGCGGTCGGCGCTGGCCCCCGCGCGACGCCCCTGGCGTGGCACCACTGCCCAGTTCAGGTTGGCGGCAGCGCGCCTGAAGACGCCCGCGCACTCGCGGCAACTCCAATCTAGGAGGCGCCCCGAGCCCCGGGGGCGCCCGGAGAGCACCTGGTAGATCGCGTCCATCCAGGCGAATCTCCTCGAGTCCAGCGGGATGCTGTCGTCGCTCTCGCAGGTCTTGGACCGCAGGTTGCCCTCCTGTGGGAAGAGCAAGAGGACCCGCGTGGCCACCCCGCCGGGGGCGGGCGGCAGGAACGCTGCCAGCGTCAAGCCCAGCATCTCCCCAGGGCGCAGGCACCCCTCTGCCATGATCAAGTTTAGCACTGCGGCCATCAGAAAACCCAGCCTCGCGATCTCCACCACAATGGACACCCACATGCCCGCTATCAAAGGCCTTCTCGAGCGAGATGGCGACGCTCTGCACCCTCCCTTCAGCGCGCGCAGGGTGCGCGGCAGCTTGTCGTAGCCGTTGTTCCCGCGGCGCGGTGAGTGGAAGATGACACCCGCTAGGAGCGTCTAGCTTCTCTCCCCTCCAGCTCTTATGACCCTGCTCGAACTCGTGGTTCATGAAGTCGGTCAGGGCGACGCCCAGGCGCGCGGGCTCCTCCAGCACCGTCTCTGAGAAGGGGCCCCAGCTCAAAGGCGAGGACGCGCTGGCGGTACTGGGCAGCAGCTGCCTCGGTCACGGACCGGGCCTCCAGCGGCGTCAGCCGCGCGCCTAGGAGGGCCGCGCCTATCAGGGCGCTGAGGCACTGGCGCACGTGGCTCTTCCCGCGCCGGCGCAAGGCCCTGGCGGGCCGCCGTCGCCGCCCTCTCCTCGGGGTCCGAGGGGTCGTCGCTCTAGACGCCGTCCTCTCCCTCGGTGTCCGCGGGGGCGCCTCGGTCGGCAGGGCCTGGCGCCCTGGCCAACCTGTCGGGGATCTCGTCCGCCACCTGCCCCAGGAAAGCCTCCGTCGTCTGCGCTCGAGCAGAGCCCGCGCGACGCTCGGGCCGGCCCTGCTCCAGAGCACGGCTGTGCATCGCCAGGCGGCTGGCCAGACCCCGCTCCAGGGTCAGGGCGCGCACGCGGGTCGCCGGCCCCTCCGAGCTCGGCCGAGCCAGGGACGCAGTCAAGCAGCGACTGCTCGCAGGGGCCGACGACGCGGGCGGGCGGCCGCCTGGAGGCGGCCGGGGGCTGACGGCAGCCGCTGGCGCCGGTCCATCCGTGGCTCTCAAAGCATCGGTCTGGCTGAGGGTCGGCGCGGAAACTGGATCGGCCTGAGGAACAAATCTGGAACCCAAATGGCTAAGGAGGAGGTCCGAGGCGGGGGGGGGATCGGTCTGACTGACCTCAGGCTCGGGCTCCGCGCGTGGCAGCTCGGTGCCCAGGTGAGAAACGAGGGTCTTCTCAGCGTCATACAAGGCATCGTAGATTCGGCCCCCCGTCCCCAAAATTGAACTCGCTGGGGGCCCGTCGGAAATAAAGTCGGACATTCCAAGCGAGGGCCAAACTAAAGAGTCGCCTTAGCTGCACAAGCACCCTGTCACCCCTCGACTTCCCCCGAGCAAAACAAAGCGCGATGGCCAAGTTATCACCGAGCACAAGGACGCGACAGTTTTTCACGGCACCAATGCGCAGGGCGCGAGCTCCGGCCTTGACCACCGCCCTGGCCTCAAGGCGCAAAATGTCGTCGGCATGGAGCCATCGATCAGCGATAATAGTGCGCCAGCGGTCGCCGGCAAAGAGGCGGCTGGGCACCTCAGCAAAATCCTCGTTGCGCCCCCATCGCGCCGCCTCCAGGACCCCCCTCGCCTCTCTGTCGAGCCGCGCGGGCCGGCCGAGGAAGTCGCGCCCCACGTCGCCGCTCTCAAGTCCACCTTGAAGCCGGCGACCTCGACGGCGTGTTCTCGGGCCCGGGTGCCGCCCAGGCGGTAGCGACTGAGCTCCGGCACGCGCCCGACCTCGGCCACGCCCCGATGCGACCAGAGGGGCTGGGAGACGCCGAAGCCGTGGAGACTCGCGTCGCTGGCGTAGACGCAGGGCGTCCACGGCTGGCCCCAGTCGGCCTCGACGAAGATCATGGCCCTGAGGAAGGCGTTGAGCTCCTCCCGAGCCGAGTCCCGCAGCCGCTGGAACTTCGCGCAGGACTCCCGACCGAAACGATACACCGCGTGGAAGATCGAGAGGAGCTCCCGACGCATCAGACACAGAAAAGCGACGTGTCCGAGGACGGCCTCGACCTGCCAGCCAGAGACCTTCCCCGGCCGAAGCAGCGCCCGGACGCCACGGCGCACCAGAGCGAAGCGCTTGTCACTGGGCCGGGCGACTCGGGCGTCGCCGTCAAGATGCCGGCCCAGGGAGGGCCCGCCGTGGTCGAAAACCTCCATCTCGTGGAAGCGCAGCGCGTCGGCGTCAAAGTCCCTCAGGGCCTCCGCCAGAGCGCGACCCGCCAGGTCGCCGTCGAAGGAGAGCACGCCAGCGTTGTCGACGCACATGCAGTGGCCTGACCCTGCCGAGGCGGATGGCCCGCCGAGGACCAGGGAGGGCCCCCGGTCCGAGAGCTCCTGGCTCTGCCGCAGCGCGGGCTGGCGACCCAGGCGCTGGGCGTTCGCCGTCTGGGCAAAGTGCAACGACCACGAGAAGCCCATCGGGGGGCTCGCGCACATGGGCCAGATCTTCTCGTCCGGCCTCACAGCCACGCCGTCCGGCGTGCTTGGACGCGGCGGGCGGCCAGCAAAAGTAACGCCGAATGTCGCCCCCCGCCGTCTTCACCAACCTCATCCTGTGGAAGCAGTCCGACGCCCCCGACGCCGAGGTGGGCCGGCAGGCCCTCCAGGAGGCCCTCCAGGTCGTCGATCTCCGCCCTGGGCAACCCCTCGCCGCTCAGGAGGGCGACGCCTGGAGGCTTCTGGAACAGCTGGTTGGCTCGCCGGCAGTCGACGATCAGCCTGAGCTTGTCGGACTTCTCGGCGCCGAAAAAGACGCCCAGCACGCGGGCCGGGTCTCGAGTGACGGCCACCATGCCGACTCTCGCTACCCTCCGCACAGGGCGGCCGTAGGTGCGAGGACCCTTCTGCAGCGCTAGGTCGGTGTGACAGCCCGGCACCCTTTCATGCAGTTGAATAGTTCCGACTCCTGCGCGGGCCGGAGCATAAACTTCTCAAAATCCTCGAGGTGCCCCCTGGCCTCCGAAGGCAACGTCGAGATGAGTGACGGCGAGTCGCGCAAGTCACTCGGCATAGATACCTTCGACTACTCGCAGGACCCGACACTGCCTGAAAGCGCCGGCGCATGCCCCGAGCGCCCCTTCAAGGGACTGGCCAAGGCTCCACGTTCGCCGACGGCGCTGCCAACGTCGCATCAGCGGGAGGTCGCCTCCACGACGCGCTGCCGCACATCAGCTTGCAGGCCCAAAAGATTCTTCTCGGTGGGCGCCGACATCTGCCGTGGGGCAGGCCGATGATCCCCTCCGCGCATTGAACTCAGCGCCTCGATGGCCGCGTCGATGTCTCGCAGCAGCCGTCTGCGCCCCCCGCCCGCGGCGGCCGCGGGGGCGCCCGCGGCGCTCAGAGGAGGGAGAGGCAGGAAGGCGCGAGCCCTGTGGGGTTCGCGGGCGACGGTCGGGCCATCGTCGCCCTGGGCGTCCAGCGCCATGTGGCCGGCGGCCGCGCGCCTCGCCCGCGGCCGCCTCTACCTCCCCCTCCTCCTGCTCTGCCTCCGCCGGCCTGGTCGCCCTTCGCCTGCGAGGGGAGACCCCCCATGAGGGCGGCGGCGGCCGCGGCGTCGGCACCCGGGGCGGCCCCCGACTGGGGCGCGCGGGCGCGGGCGCGGAGGCTCTCCAGCTCCAGCTCGCCCTTCGCCTGGCGCGCGGCGCACATGCGCATCTCCTCGGGGGCGAGGTCCAGGGCCGAGGAAATGGCGCTGAAGTGCTTGGCCGCGCTCCAGTTGGGATTGTCCGCGCCCTTCGCGTAGGCCTCCACGCGCTGCAGCAGCCGACGGGCGACCGCCTCCAGGGCCGCGACGGCCCCCGCGCTCAGCTGGTCGTAGCTGCCGGCCAGCCAGAGACACTCGACGAGGCACTCGACCTCATGCCAGGCCCGGTCCTTGCGCGAGATGCCGACCTCACGAGCCCACTCGGCGAACCAGGCCGCGGGCGTCCCGTCGTGCTTGTGGAACTTCCTGCAGACGGGGGGGCACGCCGGGGGCCCTCTGAGCCCGGCAGTCTGGGCGCTCTCCTGAGTGGCCTCCTGCAGCACCTTCTTCCCATCCTTGTATCTGACCCCCGCGTCGTCGTAGTCGATCCAGCGCGCGCGGAGGTCGTCGACCTCGGCCGCCTCGGCTCGGGCCGTGGAGGGCACCGGCGCGGGCGGCCGAGGTGGCCCGTCGTCGAGCAGCCTCTTCTCGAGCCGCTCGCCACCGCCACGGAGCCGGGAGGCCCCCGGCAGCTTGGCCTCGCGCCACTCCGCCATGCGACCGAGCTCGACGAGCTCCACAGGGTGATGGCCTCCGCTGCGGTCGATGGCGATGCCGTACTCGCCACGCCCACGCAGCCCGACGCACGGCGGCTGGCCGGGACGCAACTCGGTGCCGAAGGCGAAGGCTCCGTCCCAGCAGGCCAGGTCGCTGCACAGCCAGCCATGCCCGTCGGCCGCCTCTGGCAGGGGCGTGGGGGTGTCACCGCCCGGCTCCGACGCTGGCACGAGCGCGGCCCCCGAACCCCCGACGTCGCCGACGGGGAGGGGCATGGCCCGCTTGCCCCAGAGCCGTCGGCCCGAGGCACTGAGACGCGGCGCCTGCGCCGGTGAGTAGGCCGGGAGGTCCAGCCGACCCCCCCTCCAGTTCGAACTGTCACCGCGTCGGGCACGCTGGGGTCAGGGCCCTCGCTTCCCGTCATCACGACGGCCTCGGCTCGCGCCCTCTTGACGAGCTCCGCCACCTCGTCCGGCTCCAGCGCCCGGCTGAAGGCCACCACCTGCGGGACGCCCGCTGGGTAGCCCTTCCGCCCTGCGAGCAAGGCCGAGCTGCTGTATTCGGTCTCCTGTTCCACGTAGAAGTCGCCACCCGGAGTGTAGACGAAACTGGCCCAAGCGCCGTCAGCGTCGGGCGGGACGGGCCACAAGAAGAGCCCCTCGTGGGCCCAGCCCGGGTCGGTCGAGAACGTGACAAGCCCCCGCGACCCGGGGGTGGGATGCCCGACCGTCTCGAAGAGCGACTGCGGCGGCAGGCGTATCATTTGATCTGCAGCCGGGCCTCGCCCAAGGGCTGCCTCCTGCGGAGGTCGCTCGCCCTCCGCGCGCAGCAGCGCCGGGCGCCCCAGGCTAGCCCAGCCTCGCCGCCGCCCAGCGCCAGCAGGAGCAGCCAGCTGGGCATCTCCACCGTCGAACCCGTCACGCCTTCGCCAAGGACGTGGAAGCTCTCTGGCCCGTCACGCGGGCACTCAAGGGGCACGGGCGGAGGGCAGGGGAGCGGTCCGACAGCCACCTTGGCCCAGGTCACGCTGGTCTCGGTCGTGCTGGTAGTGCTGGATGTCCAGATGACCCCCGCAAGACCGCCAGGGCACCACCCGTCGCCAAGCCAGTTGGCGGGGTGGAGGAGCACGCCGGCCGCCAGACACAAGGCGGCGATTGCGCTGCTCGTGGCGGTCCCCGCAATCATGCTAGGGCTTTTAGCTTGAGCAACATTACGGCGACAGAAGTAAAAACTCTTAGCAAACCCCTGCCACGCAGAAGCATGATAAATATCGGGGTCGAGGTGGGCCGGCGGAATTATCTTTGAGGATGTCTCGAGCGAACCGCTTGTGTGTTCAGAATGTGTTGAGGATGTCTCGAGCGAAACGATTGTTTTGTGTTATAGTTTGTCCTCTCCTGGGGACCAGAATTCAGAGGATCTCTCAAGTGAAATGCTTGTTTTCACGTGCCCAGGTCTTGAGGATGTCTCGAGCGAGACGCTTGGTTTCACGCCTCCAGGTTGCCTAGACAGATGTCTAGCATGAGGATTTGTTGAGGATGTCTCGAACCAGAGGCTTGTTTTCACGTGTCCACGTCGCCCAGGCGGATGTCTAGCATGAGGATGTGTCGAGAAAATCTCGATCGAGACGCTTGTTTGCATGTGTCCAGGTTGCCCAGGCGGACGTGTAGCTCGAGATGTGCTGAGAACAGCTTGAGCGAAACGAGTGTTTTCACGTGTCCAGGTCGCCCAGGCACAGCACAGCCCTCGGCACGGTACATCAATATCGATGCCCTTAGCACTGCAGCCTGGCATGTTGCCTGGCACGTTCCGCGGAGCGTCCCGTGGCGAGTCCCCCTGGCACGTCGCGCGGTGCACGTCCATTGGCACGTTCCGTAGCGCGTCCCCTCGGCACGTCCCGCGGTGCGTCTTGGTGGCACGTCCCTTGGCACGTCGCCTGGCGCGTCCCTTGGGACGTTCCGCGGCGCGTCCTCCTGGCATGTCCTCCTGTCAATAGCTCTGGGGCAGCTCCTGGCACATCCTGTGGCGCGGCCGTGAGCCTGTCCCCCATGTCGTGTCGTTCCATTTCGGAGCCGAATCGAATTTTGAGGTCGAGTTGATTGAACGTCCTCCGCGTTTCCACTTCAACTATCTCTGGGGCAGCTACTATGTGCTCAGGCAGCTCGAGCTTAAGATCCAGATCAGTTCGGTCAGGACTCGGATGCTAAGGAGGACTCGATCCACAACGCTATAGAGCACAATCGCGGCATGTTACATCGCAGTTCAGCACAGCGCAGCACAGCACAGCCCTCGGCACGGTATATCAACATCGATACACTCAGCATTGCAACCTGGCGCGTTCCGCGGCGCGTCTCCTGGCACATCCACTGGCACGTCCATTGGCACGTTCCGTAGCGCGTCCCCTCGGCACGTCCCGCGGTGCGTCTTGGTGGCACGTCCCTTGGCACGTCGCCTGGCGCGTCCCTTGGGACGTTCCGCGGCGCGTCCTCCTGGCATGTCCTCCTGTCAATTAGCTCTGGGGCAGCTACTATGTGCTGAGGCAGCTCGAGCTTAAGATCCAGATCAGTTCGGTCAGGACTCGGATGCAAAGGAGGAATCGATCCACAACGCTATAGAACACAATCGCGGCAGGGCACATCGCAGTTCAGCACAGCGCAGCACAGCACAGCCCTCGGCACGGTACATCAACATCGATACATTCAGCATTGCATTTGCCCGTCGCCCAATCAGGTGTCTTTGAAACATTGCCATGCCTTACATTTCTATATTCCTTTCCGGGTTCGTGGGTCGATCATGTTGTTCTAGGATTTCCTTGAATTTTGCCAGGATCTCTCGGGCGAAATGCACGACCCCACCCTAGCACGACCACACCCCAGCACGACCACACCCCAGCACGACCACACACCAGCACGACCACACACCAGCACGACCCCAACCCAGCACGACCACACCCCAGCACGACCAAACCCCAGCACGACCACACCCCAGCACGACCACACACCAGCACGACCACACACCAGCACGACCACAGCCCAGCACGACCTCACCACAGCACGACCACACCCCAGCACGACCACGCCCCAGCACGACCACGCCCCAGCACGACCGCGCCCCAGCACGACCACCCCCCAGCACGACCACCCCCCCAGCACGACCACCCCCCAGCACGACCACCCCCCAGCACGACCACACACCAGCACGACCACTCCCCAGCACGATCACACCCCAGCACGACCATTCCCCAGCACGACCACACCCAGTCGCACCCCCGTGGAATGTTTCGTGGGGTGTCTGGTTGAGTGGTTGCCTGTTCGTGGGGTGTCTCGAAGAATGTTTCACGGGGTGTCTCGTGGAATGTTTCTTGAGGTGTCTCGTGACATGTTTCGTGACGTGTCTCGTGGGATGTTTCGCGGGGTGTCTCGTGGGATGTTTCGTGAGGTGTCGCCCAGTTGGGTATCGTGAAAACGTGACCTTGCTGCACATGCCTATATCCCTTTCCGGGTTCGTGGGTCCATCATGTTGGGACACCGCGGGACACCACGGTACACCTCGGGGCACCACGTCGATCTCATTATCGATCTCACTATCGATATCATTCAACGGAACACCACGGGACACCACGGGACACCACGGGACACCGCGAGACACCGCGAGCCACCGTCGGACGGACGGACGGACGGACGGGCGGGGCGGGCGGGTGGGGGAGAATAATTTGCCCTGACTTCGCCCTAACAACGGCGGACACCACGGGACACCACGGGACACCAGGGGACACCACGGGACACCACGGGTCACCGCGGGACACCGCGAGCAACGCCGGACGGGCGGGGGAGAATCATTTGTCTTAACTTCGCCCTCGCAACGGCGGGTTCATTCCTCTCGCGCGCCCACGCAGCTTCGCCAGACGGACGGACGGACGGGCGGGCGGGCGGGGGAGAATCATTTGCTCTGACTTCGCCCTAACAACGGCGGACACCACGGGACACCACGGGACACCACGGGACACCGCGGGACACCGCGAGCCACCGCCGGACGGGGTGGGGGGGATCACTTGTCTTGACTTCGCCCCAACAACGGCGGACACCACGGGACACCACCGGACACCACGGGACACCGCGGGACACCGCGAGCCACCGCCGGACGGACGGACGGACGGGCGGGCGGGAGGGGGAGAATCATTTGCCTTGACTTCGCCCTAACAACGGCGGACACCACGGGACACCACGGGACACCGCGAGACACCGCGGGACACCGCGAGCCACCGCCGGACGGGCGGGGGAGAATCATTTGCCTTGACTTCGCCCTAACAACGGCGGACACCACGGGACACCACGGGACACCGCGGGACACCGCGAGCAACGCCGGACGGGCGGGGGAGAATCATTTGCCTTGACTTCGCCCTAGCAACGGCGGGTTCATTCCTCTCGCGCGCCCACGCAGCTTCGCCTCGCCCGCACGCACGACACGAACGGCACGAAACGATTTCCCGGTTGGGGGTCTCCGTTCCACTGCGATCTCACCCCCCAACTCAACCTCCGATATTGGAAGATGGCAATCCCAAAAGACCTACTGTCAACGACTGGCCTGCATCATCATCCTCCTCGTCATCATCATCATTATCATTGTCACCATCAAAATCATCGTTGTCATCATCATCATCATCAACATCATCATCATCCCCATGCGCGCGTTCTGCTATAAAGGGTGTTTGCCCGTGCGGGTGCCGCTGTTTGATGTTGTTGGTGTGTGTGCGTCTTTGTGTGCGTATGTGCGTGTGTGGTGTGTGGTGTGGTGTGGTGTGTGGTGTGCGCTGTGTGGGGTGTGTGTGCGTGTGCGTGTGCGTGTTTGTGTTGTTTGTGGGCGTGTGTACGTGAACGTGTGAATGAAAATGAGTGTGTGAATGCAAACGTGCGTGCGTGCGTGTGTGTGTGTGTGTGCGCGTGTGCGTGTGCGTGCGTGTGTGTGAATGTGAGTGTGCGTGCTTGTGTTGCTGCGTGTGTGAATGAATGCGAATGTGTGTATGTGTACGTGTGTGAATGTACATGTGAGTGCATGTGCGTGTGCGTGTGCATGTGCATGTGCGTGTGTGTGTGTGTGCGTTCGTGTGTTCGTGGTTTGTGTGTTTGTGTGTTTGTGTGCTTGTGTGCTTGCGTGCTTGTGTGCTTGTGTGTGTTTGCGTATGTGGTTGTGCGTGTCTGTGTTCGTGTGTCTGTGTGTTTGTCTGTTAGTGTGTTTGCGTGCTTGAGTGTTTGTGAATGGTTGTGTGTTTGTGTGTTGTGTGTTTGTGTGCTTGTGGTTGTGTGGTTGTGTTTGTGTGATTGTTTGTTTGTGTGTTTGTGTGGATGTGTGGTTGTGTGTTTATGTGTTTGTGCGTGGACGCGTGGTTGTGTAATTGTGTTTGTGTGTTCGTGTGCTTGTGCGGTTGTGCGTGTGTGCATGTGTGTGTTTGTGTGTGTGTTTGTGTTATCGTGTGTTTGTGTGGTTGTGCGCTTGTATGTTTGTGTGAGTTTGTGTGTTTGTGTGTGGGAATGTGTGTTTCTGTGTTTCCATGTTTGTTTTTTGTGTATGTGTGTGTTTGTGGTTGTGTGCGTTGGCGTGCTTGTGTGCTTGTGAGCTCGTGTGCTTGTGTGCGTTGCGTGGTTGTGTGGTGGTGTGTTTGTGTCTGTGTGCTTGTGAGCTTGTGCGCTTGTGCGTTTGTGTTATTTGTGTGTATGTGTGTGTGGTTGTGCTTGTGTGTTTATATTTGTGTGTTTGTGTGGTTGTGCGTGCATGTAGGTTTGTGTGGTTGTGTGTTTGTGAAAGCTTGTGTGTCGTTGTGAA